ACTTGGTGACAATCCTTATCTTCTCTTGTCTGCTCAAAACATCATCGATAACGTTAGAATTGAAACCACTTAAAGACATGAAAGTTCTAGAAAATTGTCTTAGCTTTCCAGGAAAAAAATAGAGGTCATTTGGACTTCTAAAACTCTAGATATGGGCCAAACACTAAATACTGTTCGGGCTTTAGGACAGATTCAGACTTCTTTGTTGTTGCTACAATTTGAACTTGAAAATGACCTTCTTAAATCTTGGGCTCCATGTGAAAGTTGTACGCGTATGTCTTATCTTTCCATCTGTTTAAAGTAGACCTAAATCTGAGATCTACAACTTCAGATATGACCCAATTACTAAATAGTGTTCTGATTTGGACTGCACTAATATCTCTTTTCTAAGTTTGGCCATCTCTTTGTTATTTCAATTTCAGTTCTTAAACTCATCAATCAATCCTTTCATTTATGTGATAGGCCTACATTTAAAATGAATAAGGCCTGCATTTAAAATGAACATTTACCATAAATTAAAGGTATCTTATATTATTAGATATTTATTATAAAATATGTTTTAATTAAAGAGTTATTGATACTTCAAATGCAAAATGATGATATAAAACCTTCATAGGATTTTCAATTGGTTATTGCTACTGCCATCTTATCTACTATGATTTAGTTTCTATCATCCTACCACTCTTCTCTTTTCATGATTACTGTTATAGATCCATCGATTAGTGCTACTGTTGACATTAATGTCAGCTCTTCTTCTCCAAATTCATTCTCTCTTGTTCTTAGACTCATAACAACTAACACAACCATGACTCCATCTTCTGCGACAATAGCACTTATTCCCTTCTTTAACACCTAGTAGGTTATCAATCTCAAACTCATCAATAATAATTATTTGTTTTGGCATATATAAATGAAACTGTATCTGATTAGTTAAGGAGTCTTCTTGTTTGTTGACAACTCTGCCCCTCTTCGCATAATCTATCCAATACGGTTTCTGCTATCTCTACTATCTTCAATTCTGACCCTTCCCAAGTGTTTCTGACTTGGAAACACTAAAACCAACTTATCTTTAGTGCTATGTTGTCTTTTCTCTTAATTGATATTCTCCATCTTGTGGTTGATTGTCCGACTTCTACTAGTGTTTGGAGCATGCTTGTTCATGCTTACGCCTCCCCATCAAACTCTCAGATCATGCAATTGTATCGCTCTCTTCAGGATCTCCGACAAGGTGATGATATTGTCACTCTCTACTTGCAACGCGCTAAAGGTTTGTTCAATGAATTAGTTGCGCTTAGAAGACCTATTTCCTTTACTGATTTCAACTTATATGTGTTTCAGGGACTTCTTAGTGAATTTCATGATTTGGTTACAAGTCTATCAATTACAACTGACTCTTTTTTGTATTTTAAGCTTTATAGTTACTTGTCTACTCATGAATTCTTACATCACAACTCTCTTCCATCCATTCTGCCTATTGCACCCTTACTGTCCATACTAGCATAGCCCCTTTTAGGTTATATTGCCTAGCATGTTTTTTTTGGGTCTACTGGCAATGGTTTCATAGCTCATCGGGGCAGAGGAAGAAAGGGGGTTGATGACATCCTCGCAAGAATTTTCATCACTCCAATAGTCAATATTTTCATGACACTAATGGTGGTTCTCCCTAGCAGCAAAATCATAGTCATTGTGTATAATGGCAACAACACCAACAACAGTCTACAACAACACCAGCAACAACTGCAACAACAAATTAGTGGCCACAAAAACAAATAAAATGACAGCTTTGCAACATCTATGGACACTTTGCACATTAGTGTTCCTAGCCAACTTTGCAACATCTATAGACACTTTACATAATAGTGTTCCCAGCTTGTCCATCGTGGAAATCAAGCCTCGGCCAACCCCTCATTTAGTGTCGTGTCAATAGAGAATTCTACCACATGGTTTTCTGACACAGGTGCGAATCACTACATTACTCCAGATATTACCTATATGACACACGCATAACGTTATCTTGGTAATGATCAATTGCATATTGGTGGTGGTAAGGGACTTGTTATATCTAATACCACACATAATATCTTGCATACACCAAAACAAGTCTTCACCTTGCCCAATATATTACATATTCCACACATTAAAAAAAGATTACTATCTGTTTAACAATTTTATTGTAAAACTTATGTCTTTTTTTAATTTCACTCTTCTCTTTTCTATGTCAAGGATCTCATCACCAAGGAAGTTCTTCTTTCTGGTTAGAGAAACGATGACCTCTATGTCCTCAGAGTCTTCTATCACATCTATGCCACAAGCTTTTTATTCACTAGCTTGCCTACTACTGATATTTGACATTGTCAACTTGGTCATCCCAGTTCACCCATTCTGAGTCTCTTAACGTCTAATAAAAAGATCTGTTATACCTCTTATCATCTTAATTT